GTCTGCGGAGACCACTGATTCCTGAAGAAGCATTTGACACAATGGTTGGCAATAATGGATTGCCGAATGGTGCCACACTTAGTGAAATCGATTTACCAGGACAAGTTCTTTCTGAATATCCGATCAGCAGAACCTCACCTATGCCAAAGCAAACATTTGATTTTGCACAATATTATGCATTCAATCTGACAATCTTTGCCCTGACCATGATCTATTCTGCATTTGCTCCTATTGTGGTTCCTGTTGGTACAATTTATTTTGGGTATAGGTACGTGGTTGATAAGTACAACTTTCTATTTGTATACAGAGTACAAGGGTTTCCTTCAGGCAATGATGGGAGGTTGATGGACACGGTATTGGGTATCATGAGGTTTTGTGTCGACTTGTTCCTACTTTCAATGCTCTTGTTCTTTACAGTCAAAGGAGATTCCACTAAGCTGCAAGCAATATTCACGCTTGGGCTGTTTGTGTTGTATAAATTGTTGCCTTCTGATGATGATAACTCCCAACCAGCTTTATTGCAAGGCATACAGACTGTTGACAATGTTGTAGATGGACCGATAGATTATGAGGTTTTTTCGCAACCCAAATTTGGATGGGATACAAGTCAGTTGTGATTTGATCTTTAACACTTATAAATGAGTTGCTTGTGATAGTCATGTATTTCTGTCCCCGTTAATCTTCAAAGAATCTTTTGTGATGTTTCTGTATACACATCAAGAAAGGTTCGCCTTTGCTCTGGATTCACTTCTTGTTTGTTGTGATTGTTGTTGTTTTGGTTCATTTTGGTATAAATGAGATTGAGCAACGCTTGAGAATCACTAGGTTTAGGGATGGGTATGGTAATCCTAGTGATCCTAGTGCGAATTCATCTGCAATTTTCACTATAATGGTGCACGGGGTGCCGAAAACTTTAGGGTTTGATAAGACTTCTTTGGTGGAGTATTTTCAACACAAGTATCCCGGGAAAGTTTATAAGGTCATTGTGCCGATGGATTTGTGTGCTTTGGATGATTTAGTTACGGAGTTGGTTAAAGTTAGAGATGATATTTCCAAATTGATAGTGAAGATTGAGTCGCGGGTTTCAACGATTGAAATTGAAGATGGTGAAATTGGAGAAGATTCTTCAGCGGGGTTGTGGAACAGAGCACGTTCGCTGTGGAGGACAGTAAGGAACTACTGGGATGAGATTATTAGTGAATTAGGGTTTACGGATGAGGAGAGGTTGAGAAAGTTGCAAGAATTGAGAGCTGATTTAGAGACTGAAATGGCAGCATACAAAGAAGGGCGAGCAAAGGGTGCTGGAGTGGCTTTTGTGGTATTTAAGGATGTGTATGCCACTAATAAGGCTGTTCAGGATTTCCGGAATGAGAAAAGGAGACGGATTGGAAAATTCTTTTCTGTCATGGAGTTGCAGTTACAGAGGAACCAATGGAAAGTTGAGCGAGCTCCATTGGCGACCGACATATACTGGAATCATTTGGGCTCCTCAAAGGTCTCACTGAAACTTCGCAGAGTGTTTGTGAATACATGCCTAGTGTTGATGCTTTTGTTCTTCAGTTCTCCTCTTGCTGTGATTAGTGCCATTAAGAGTGCTGGGCGCATTATCAACGCAGAGGCAATGGATAATGCTCAAATGTGGTTGGCTTGGGTGCAAAGCTCAAGCTGGCTGGCAACTATAATCTTTCAGTTCCTTCCTAATGTTCTTATTTTTGTGAGTATGTATATAGTGATCCCATCAGCTCTGTCCTATCTCTCAAAGTTTGAACGGCATCTTACTGTGTCAGGGGAGCAAAGAGCTGCACTTTTGAAGATGGTTTGCTTCTTTCTTGTAAATCTCATTCTTTTGAGGGCTCTGGTTGAATCCTCTCTAGAGAGTGCAATCTTAAGAATGGGTCGCTGTTATTTGGACGGAGAAGATTGCAAAAAGATTGAGCAATACATGAGCGCGTCATTTCTGTCAAGGTCATGCCTTTCATCTCTTGCATTTCTAATCACATGCACTTTCTTGGGAATATCTTTCGATCTTTTGGCTCCAATACCTTGGATAAAAAAGAAGCTTCAGAAGTTTCAGAAGAATGACATGCTTCTACTGGTACCGGAACAAAGTGAGGATTACCCATTAGAAAATCCGGATTTAGAGAGTCTGCGGAGACCACTGATTCCTGAAGAAGCATTTGACACAATGGTTGGCAATAATGGATTGCCGAATGGTGCCACACTTAGTGAAATCGATTTACCAGGACAAGTTCTTTCTGAATATCCGATCAGCAGAACCTCACCTATGCCAAAGCAAACATTTGATTTTGCACAATATTATGCATTCAATCTGACAATCTTTGCCCTGACCATGATCTATTCTGCATTTGCTCCTATTGTGGTTCCTGTTGGTACAATTTATTTTGGGTATAGGTACGTGGTTGATAAGTACAACTTTCTATTTGTATACAGAGTACAAGGGTTTCCTTCAGGCAATGATGGGAGGTTGATGGACACGGTATTGGGTATCATGAGGTTTTGTGTCGACTTGTTCCTACTTTCAATGCTCTTGTTCTTTACAGTCAAAGGAGATTCCACTAAGCTGCAAGCAATATTCACGCTTGGGCTGTTTGTGTTGTATAAATTGTTGCCTTCTGATGATGATAACTCCCAACCAGCTTTATTGCAAGGCATACAGACTGTTGACAATGTTGTAGATGGACCGATAGATTATGAGGTTTTTTCGCAACCCAAATTTGGATGGGATACAAGTCAGTTGTGATTTGATCTTTAACACTTATAAATGAGTTGCTTGTGATAGTCATGTATTTCTGTCCCCGTTAATCTTCAAAGAATCTTTTGTGATGTTTCTGTATACACATCAAGAAAGGTTCGCCTTTGCTCTGGATTCACTTCTTGTTTGTTGTGATTGTTGTTGTTTTGGTTCATTTTGGTATAAATGAGATTGAGCAACGCTTGAGAATCACTAGGTTTAGGGATGGGTATGGTAATCCTAGTGATCCTAGTGCGAATTCATCTGCAATTTTCACTATAATGGTGCACGGGGTGCCGAAAACTTTAGGGTTTGATAAGACTTCTTTGGTGGAGTATTTTCAACACAAGTATCCCGGGAAAGTTTATAAGGTCATTGTGCCGATGGATTTGTGTGCTTTGGATGATTTAGTTACGGAGTTGGTTAAAGTTAGAGATGATATTTCCAAATTGATAGTGAAGATTGAGTCGCGGGTTTCAACGATTGAAATTGAAGATGGTGAAATTGGAGAAGATTCTTCAGCGGGGTTGTGGAACAGAGCACGTTCGCTGTGGAGGACAGTAAGGAACTACTGGGATGAGATTATTAGTGAATTAGGGTTTACGGATGAGGAGAGGTTGAGAAAGTTGCAAGAATTGAGAGCTGATTTAGAGACTGAAATGGCAGCATACAAAGAAGGGCGAGCAAAGGGTGCTGGAGTGGCTTTTGTGGTATTTAAGGATGTGTATGCCACTAATAAGGCTGTTCAGGATTTCCGGAATGAGAAAAGGAGACGGATTGGAAAATTCTTTTCTGTCATGGAGTTGCAGTTACAGAGGAACCAATGGAAAGTTGAGCGAGCTCCATTGGCGACCGACATATACTGGAATCATTTGGGCTCCTCAAAGGTCTCACTGAAACTTCGCAGAGTGTTTGTGAATACATGCCTAGTGTTGATGCTTTTGTTCTTCAGTTCTCCTCTTGCTGTGATTAGTGCCATTAAGAGTGCTGGGCGCATTATCAACGCAGAGGCAATGGATAATGCTCAAATGTGGTTGGCTTGGGTGCAAAGCTCAAGCTGGCTGGCAACTATAATCTTTCAGTTCCTTCCTAATGTTCTTATTTTTGTGAGTATGTATATAGTGATCCCATCAGCTCTGTCCTATCTCTCAAAGTTTGAACGGCATCTTACTGTGTCAGGGGAGCAAAGAGCTGCACTTTTGAAGATGGTTTGCTTCTTTCTTGTAAATCTCATTCTTTTGAGGGCTCTGGTTGAATCCTCTCTAGAGAGTGCAATCTTAAGAATGGGTCGCTGTTATTTGGACGGAGAAGATTGCAAAAAGATTGAGCAATACATGAGCGCGTCATTTCTGTCAAGGTCATGCCTTTCATCTCTTGCATTTCTAATCACATGCACTTTCTTGGGAATATCTTTCGATCTTTTGGCTCCAATACCTTGGATAAAAAAGAAGCTTCAGAAGTTTCAGAAGAATGACATGCTTCTACTGGTACCGGAACAAAGTGAGGATTACCCATTAGAAAATCCGGATTTAGAGAGTCTGCGGAGACCACTGATTCCTGAAGAAGCATTTGACACAATGGTTGGCAATAATGGATTGCCGAATGGTGCCACACTTAGTGAAATCGATTTACCAGGACAAGTTCTTTCTGAATATCCGATCAGCAGAACCTCACCTATGCCAAAGCAAACATTTGATTTTGCACAATATTATGCATTCAATCTGACAATCTTTGCCCTGACCATGATCTATTCTGCATTTGCTCCTATTGTGGTTCCTGTTGGTACAATTTATTTTGGGTATAGGTACGTGGTTGATAAGTACAACTTTCTATTTGTATACAGAGTACAAGGGTTTCCTTCAGGCAATGATGGGAGGTTGATGGACACGGTATTGGGTATCATGAGGTTTTGTGTCGACTTGTTCCTACTTTCAATGCTCTTGTTCTTTACAGTCAAAGGAGATTCCACTAAGCTGCAAGCAATATTCACGCTTGGGCTGTTTGTGTTGTATAAATTGTTGCCTTCTGATGATGATAACTCCCAACCAGCTTTATTGCAAGGCATACAGACTGTTGACAATGTTGTAGATGGACCGATAGATTATGAGGTTTTTTCGCAACCCAAATTTGGATGGGATACAAGTCAGTTGTGATTTGATCTTTAACACTTATAAATGAGTTGCTTGTGATAGTCATGTATTTCTGTCCCCGTTAATCTTCAAAGAATCTTTTGTGATGTTTCTGTATACACATCAAGAAAGGTTCGCCTTTGCTCTGGATTCACTTCTTGTTTGTTGTGATTGTTGTTGTTTTGGTTCATTTTGGTATAAATGAGATTGAGCAACGCTTGAGAATCACTAGGTTTAGGGATGGGTATGGTAATCCTAGTGATCCTAGTGCGAATTCATCTGCAATTTTCACTATAATGGTGCACGGGGTGCCGAAAACTTTAGGGTTTGATAAGACTTCTTTGGTGGAGTATTTTCAACACAAGTATCCCGGGAAAGTTTATAAGGTCATTGTGCCGATGGATTTGTGTGCTTTGGATGATTTAGTTACGGAGTTGGTTAAAGTTAGAGATGATATTTCCAAATTGATAGTGAAGATTGAGTCGCGGGTTTCAACGATTGAAATTGAAGATGGTGAAATTGGAGAAGATTCTTCAGCGGGGTTGTGGAACAGAGCACGTTCGCTGTGGAGGACAGTAAGGAACTACTGGGATGAGATTATTAGTGAATTAGGGTTTACGGATGAGGAGAGGTTGAGAAAGTTGCAAGAATTGAGAGCTGATTTAGAGACTGAAATGGCAGCATACAAAGAAGGGCGAGCAAAGGGTGCTGGAGTGGCTTTTGTGGTATTTAAGGATGTGTATGCCACTAATAAGGCTGTTCAGGATTTCCGGAATGAGAAAAGGAGACGGATTGGAAAATTCTTTTCTGTCATGGAGTTGCAGTTACAGAGGAACCAATGGAAAGTTGAGCGAGCTCCATTGGCGACCGACATATACTGGAATCATTTGGGCTCCTCAAAGGTCTCACTGAAACTTCGCAGAGTGTTTGTGAATACATGCCTAGTGTTGATGCTTTTGTTCTTCAGTTCTCCTCTTGCTGTGATTAGTGCCATTAAGAGTGCTGGGCGCATTATCAACGCAGAGGCAATGGATAATGCTCAAATGTGGTTGGCTTGGGTGCAAAGCTCAAGCTGGCTGGCAACTATAATCTTTCAGTTCCTTCCTAATGTTCTTATTTTTGTGAGTATGTATATAGTGATCCCATCAGCTCTGTCCTATCTCTCAAAGTTTGAACGGCATCTTACTGTGTCAGGGGAGCAAAGAGCTGCACTTTTGAAGATGGTTTGCTTCTTTCTTGTAAATCTCATTCTTTTGAGGGCTCTGGTTGAATCCTCTCTAGAGAGTGCAATCTTAAGAATGGGTCGCTGTTATTTGGACGGAGAAGATTGCAAAAAGATTGAGCAATACATGAGCGCGTCATTTCTGTCAAGGTCATGCCTTTCATCTCTTGCATTTCTAATCACATGCACTTTCTTGGGAATATCTTTCGATCTTTTGGCTCCAATACCTTGGATAAAAAAGAAGCTTCAGAAGTTTCAGAAGAATGACATGCTTCTACTGGTACCGGAACAAAGTGAGGATTACCCATTAGAAAATCCGGATTTAGAGAGTCTGCGGAGACCACTGATTCCTGAAGAAGCATTTGACACAATGGTTGGCAATAATGGATTGCCGAATGGTGCCACACTTAGTGAAATCGATTTACCAGGACAAGTTCTTTCTGAATATCCGATCAGCAGAACCTCACCTATGCCAAAGCAAACATTTGATTTTGCACAATATTATGCATTCAATCTGACAATCTTTGCCCTGACCATGATCTATTCTGCATTTGCTCCTATTGTGGTTCCTGTTGGTACAATTTATTTTGGGTATAGGTACGTGGTTGATAAGTACAACTTTCTATTTGTATACAGAGTACAAGGGTTTCCTTCAGGCAATGATGGGAGGTTGATGGACACGGTATTGGGTATCATGAGGTTTTGTGTCGACTTGTTCCTACTTTCAATGCTCTTGTTCTTTACAGTCAAAGGAGATTCCACTAAGCTGCAAGCAATATTCACGCTTGGGCTGTTTGTGTTGTATAAATTGTTGCCTTCTGATGATGATAACTCCCAACCAGCTTTATTGCAAGGCATACAGACTGTTGACAATGTTGTAGATGGACCGATAGATTATGAGGTTTTTTCGCAACCCAAATTTGGATGGGATACAAGTCAGTTGTGATTTGATCTTTAACACTTATAAATGAGTTGCTTGTGATAGTCATGTATTTCTGTCCCCGTTAATCTTCAAAGAATCTTTTGTGATGTTTCTGTATACACATCAAGAAAGGTTCGCCTTTGCTCTGGATTCACTTCTTGTTTGTTGTGATTGTTGTTGTTTTGGTTCATTTTGGTATAAATGAGATTGAGCAACGCTTGAGAATCACTAGGTTTAGGGATGGGTATGGTAATCCTAGTGATCCTAGTGCGAATTCATCTGCAATTTTCACTATAATGGTGCACGGGGTGCCGAAAACTTTAGGGTTTGATAAGACTTCTTTGGTGGAGTATTTTCAACACAAGTATCCCGGGAAAGTTTATAAGGTCATTGTGCCGATGGATTTGTGTGCTTTGGATGATTTAGTTACGGAGTTGGTTAAAGTTAGAGATGATATTTCCAAATTGATAGTGAAGATTGAGTCGCGGGTTTCAACGATTGAAATTGAAGATGGTGAAATTGGAGAAGATTCTTCAGCGGGGTTGTGGAACAGAGCACGTTCGCTGTGGAGGACAGTAAGGAACTACTGGGATGAGATTATTAGTGAATTAGGGTTTACGGATGAGGAGAGGTTGAGAAAGTTGCAAGAATTGAGAGCTGATTTAGAGACTGAAATGGCAGCATACAAAGAAGGGCGAGCAAAGGGTGCTGGAGTGGCTTTTGTGGTATTTAAGGATGTGTATGCCACTAATAAGGCTGTTCAGGATTTCCGGAATGAGAAAAGGAGACGGATTGGAAAATTCTTTTCTGTCATGGAGTTGCAGTCTAAGGACTTTTAAGACAAGAGTGCAGTTGCATTATAGTCCCCTGCAGCTAAGGACTTTCAAGAAATGTCATCAAAACAAGATAGTGTTTAATATACAAGTAGGGATAGTCATTCATGCTAGATCAAGTACTTTTCAAAACAAGGCAAGACGAGATTTATGAAAACAAGTGTAACATAGCTTTATTAGAAATACCACTCACTTAGTTTCTTCAAACGTCGGGGTCGAGACAAGCCCAAATCCTACAATGCACATGGCAAAGCCTATTGAATGCACCTTCAACAGTTTCGTATGTACATAATTGATTTCGGAAAACATGCTGGGCACCAACCAGGTCTAGGCCGAGGTCTCACACCTCCTCGCCGAGGTGTGTTCCCGAGGGCCACATGCAAGGAAAAGCGGTCGGGAAACTCTGGGTTTCCCTCTGCTGATGAACATGAAGAACATGAGTGTGAAAACATGAAAAACATGAATGTTCAATCATAATCTGTCATCACAATCTGGGGTTTTCGTGCTATGAGTTTGAAAACATGGACCTGGGTACCCGTACTTGGAATTCTTGCGGAAATAAACACAAAAACATGATTCTTTATGCAAGCTTTCGGATCAAAACAAGACTTTCTTGAAGAACACATGAATGTCATTTTCTCTTTCTAAAATCGAACTTCAAAACGATGCATGGCTTACAAATCAAGTCCGATCATGCAATGCAATAACATGAACATAGAGAACATCTTGAGCAGATCAAGAATCTAACCTTAGAACACGGATCTAACGGTTCGATCTCTAGGAATCAAGCTTGAAGATCTACTTCCTCACTCTAAAACTCCTTCTTCCTCCTAGAGCTTCTCTCTCTACAAGGCAAGGTTATGATACCAAATGATAGTTTTCTTTACCCGGTTCTGGGGTTAACCCTCTACTGAGACACGTGGCAGCGACTGGTTGGGTTCTTTCCTGAAAAGGTGGCTGACAGACTAGACAAAGCATGGTGGAAGGGTGTTCAACAAGTAAAGCGGTATGGCTCTCTGACGGGGCAATGACACCGGCTAACAACAAGTCGTATCTAACAAGCTATACGGAATGGCACTCCGGCAAGGGGTGACATCGGCTAACAAAGGACCTCGGCAACTAAGGTGACAATGACCTCGGCTAGGAAGGACAACACTTGACTAAGCTGTGCCACATCTTGGCCTAGATGCGCCACACCTCGGCCTAGGTCGTACCACTCCAGGACGAGATCGCTTGGGTGCAAGGTAACATCTCGGCTAATGTGTCAAGGCGAGAACGGAGGTCAACAAGGGGTTCCAAGATACTACTACTAGATTAAGGATGACCTCGGCTTGGAATAACATCGGCTAGCATAACTCAGGCAAGGCATGACCCAAGTTTCACATCAAGGAAGGAACAAGACAAGTACACTACGCTTAGACAAATCACAAGGCTTCAAAACAAGGCATGGATCACATTAGCTTAAGCGAAACAAATCACAGCATACACATGCAAACTTAACAAGTCATAATCATACAGATGCTCATGAACATGACGAGAACACAAAATATGGGTTCCTACAATAAGTTATTTCTAGTGAACCATGGCTTGCTTACCTTTTCAGCCTTGATCGAGGTAGCTAGAAACCTTAGCACAACTAGCCCTCTCCTTGGGCATCAAGAGAGTCATCGCTACTCTTGTAGCAATAGAGTTAGTGCAGTAACCTCCCTTGGAGGGAGCTAGCTACTCACAAGAGGATACGTCAACATCACGGAAAATGAGGCTACAAAGACAAGAGTTCATATCCCTGCAGTATTGAAAATGTCAAGGCCATCATCAAGAAGTGGGTGGCAGATGGAGAACTCGTCTTACCGCCATGGATACTCTCTCAAGTAAGAGGGAGAGGAAGAGCGCAGATTACTGTGTTTACCATCGCGCCACTAAACACCAAATGCGAGACTGTTGGACTCTAAAGAGCATCTTCAAGAGGAAAGTCGCTGCAAATGAATTGAAGTTCAAGAATGCGGGCAATCGAGATGTGAGAAAAGACCCTTATCCAAATCATAAGGAAAATGGAGAGAATGTGAACATAATAGGGTATCGTGGGCCTGTACACAATCAAGTGCACGTGACGTCTTATTATAATGAGTTGGAGGAGATAGCAACGGGCTAATGTCCTGAGGCTATACCCACAAAGAAGTTGCCCATAGAAGATGTCCATACCCATGCTTTGCAGAACTCAGTCAAGTTCTGCACCTTCTTTGATCAACTAGGATTGAGCCAAGTTGCTAGGCTGGAGGGAACTAAGGTTCTTTTACTATCTCTAAGGTACAACATGCTGAAGAGATTGAAGTCAAAGAGCATGCGCCTCGGCAGATTCAAGAAGATTACTGCTCCATCATATTTTCAGAGGTTGACTGCACATACCCTTACCCCCATAATCGTCCATTGTTTGTTACAACTTATGTAAACGATGTGAAGTTCAAGCGGGCCTTCCTTGATGGAGGGCATCCATAAATATCATCACCACTGATACCCTATTGAAAGCGAATATCCCAAAATCCCACTTGATGTGCCAACCCATTACTATTACAGGGTTTAGCGGTGAGAAAAAAAATTACTAAGGGCCATGCCATGGTGGATCTGGTAGTCGGCGACATATGGAATTCCCTTCAACTATTCTTGCCAAATATGTCATATAGTGAGGTTGAAGGGATATATCCAAATGCATATCTTATTCTTTTCAATAATCCATACTTGTAGCAATGAAATAGTATTGTTCCTCTCACAAGTGATAAATGATTGATTACAAATATCCTTGATATATCTTCTCTATAAAGGATTAGAAATGCCTTGTTCAAGGAGGGATTAAATAAAGGGAATTTAACCTGTGAGGTGAGTCCTTCACTATTGATATGGATAACACCCTTATACAGAGACTTCTTCCTTGCCACAAAATTCCATGTGATAGAGACTGACACAAACTACCAAATGATATTGGGAAGAGCCTGGATACATCGGTATGGAGTTGTACCCTCCAACTTTCACTAGAGTGTTAAAGCTAAGCTTGGGAAGCACGTGATCGCTATTAGTGTTGAAACCGTTCGGCGTAGAAGAGGCACATCAGCCTAATGCTATTGTAGACACCCCATTTTTGACCGACCTTAAGACTCAGACGTCACCGATTGAGCGCTTGGTGATGTTGCATATTGTGCTCGTTCAAAAGTTTCAGAGTCTTGGCCGTGAGCCTTGCCTCCAGGCTTCCGGACCCTTTCATGCTTTGCCTCAGTTTGCGAACCAGGCTCAGTTTTCTCTGTTTTCTCTTCGCGAAGGGAGGGAGAGGTCTCGTTGACCATCTCTCAGTGGCCGTAGGCTACATTTCGTGGTCATAGGCCATTTTTGCCTGTTTGGAGTCCGGTTTTCGGTTTTTCGGAACCGTTGGCCGTGTGCCTCGGTTCGGGACCGCTTAACCATCTCCATTTGCTTTGATTTTTGGCATACTTCTTATTTGCTCCCTTTTGAGGGACACTGTGGTCCGAGAGACCGACTTCGTGGTCGAACACCACTCCCGGTGCTTAACAGCCCGTTTTCGGGGCCCCGAACTGCGTGTTTCGGCCCCCGAACCTTCATTCTGCATTGGTTTTGGTTCATTTTTGGCAGGGACCTCTGTTTCATTGGTAGGAAGGCCGTAGAAGGGTGGGAGGCCAGTAATTGTTCTGTCAACCAACTTTATCCCTTTATCACCCTCCGTCGCCCGTTTTTCTTCACTTCAGAGCCAATGTTGAACACCCTTGCACCATTTTCTTGCACCCAAAATCACATATTTGTGATGTACACATCTGGGAGGCCACCAATATTTGGTGGCCGGCCAGTAATTGTTGTTGACCCTTTTGAACCCCTTTGAAAAGTGGGTTGTTCTCTCTCCTGGTTCACTTTTTCTAGTGTTCAACCACAGGGTTGTGTTGTGTACACATCAGAGGCTCTCTTTTTGTGGTGGCCGGCCATTAATCACACTTGACCCTTTTGACCCCTAGCCGGCCGGCCATGTGAAGTAGCCGGCCGGCCACCTGCAACCTGGATAACTGGCCGGCCAGGATCCTCACATCATCTACAGTGCAGAAATGCATTCATTTTCCCCCCCAGATTCTGTATCCGGGGGGCTGCATTTTGGAGGGAAACTTGGCATGTTTTCCCTCCATTTTTTCCCCCCATTTTCCCCCTCTTTTTGCCTATATATCAGAGGCTCCAGCTCTGATATTAGGGTTACAAAAAATCCCCTCAAGCCCTTTGCATTAGATCCCTCTCCT